CTGTCTCTCTGTATATACATGGACAAAACTGGCTGCAGTGGCTTATGCCTGTAATCCCAGCACTTTGGGAAGCCAAGGCAGGAGGATCACTTGAGCCCAAGAGTTCAGGACCAGCCTGAGCAACATAGCAAGACCCCATCTCTAATAATAATAATAACAGCTGGGTGTCGTGGCATGCAACTGTGGTCCCAGCTACTTGGGAGGCTGAGGCTAGAGAATCACATGAGCCCAAGGAGTGGAAGCTGCAGTGAGCTGTGATCACACCACTGCACCCCAGACTGGGCAACAGAGCAAGACCCTGTCTCAAAGAAAAAAAAAATGGGCAAGACTGTTGCAGAGCAACTTTATTCATAATTGCCCCAAATAGCAAATAACCCAAATGCCCACCCTCGGGAGAATGGATAAGCAATTTGTAGTATATTCATGGGACACAACACTACCCAGAAACAAAAAGGAACTCACCCCTAATACGCACAGCCACATGCTGTTGACTGTGTATTGAATGAAAGAAGCTGGACGCAAGGGCGGACCTGTGCTATAATTTCATTTATATAAGTCCAAAAATAGGAAGCAGCCAATCACATTGATCTGTGATGTGCACATGGTGGGGACACCATCATGAAGGCATACACAAGAGCTGGGGTGGTTACCCCTGCAGGATGGAGGGGGCTGTGCTGCGGTGGGGGGCACTAGGACTTCTGGTGGCTTCACGGTGGCTGCCACTTTCTACTTTTGTTGTTGTTGAGATAGAGTCTGACTCTATCACCCAGGCTGCAGTGCAGTGGCAGAATCGCAGCTCACTGCAAACTCCACACCCTGGGCTCAAGCAATCCTCCTGCCTTGGCCTCCCGAGTAGGTGGGACTACAGGCGCCCACCACCACGCCCGGCTAATTTTTTGTATTTTTAGTAGAGACGGAGTTTCACCGTGTTAGCCAGGATGGTCTCGATCTCCTGACCTCGTGATCCACCCGCCTCGGCCTCCCAAAGTGCTGGGATTACAGACGTGAGTCATCGCGCCCGGCCTAATTTTTGTATTTTTTATAGAGATGGGGTTTCGCCACGTTGCCCAGGCTAGTCTTGAAATTGTGAGCTCTAGCTGTCCTCCCGCCTCAGCCTCCCAAAGTGCTGGGATTACAGGAGTGAGCCACTGCACCCGGCCTTACTTTCCATGTCTTGACCCAAGAGATAGTTGTATGGCTTTATGATCATTTGTTACATTGCACGTTTACATGTTCCGCACTTTTCAGAGGGGTGTGTTGGTAATATATCCCAATTACAGTGTTTTACTGCGGTGAAATATTCATAATATGAAATGTACCTTCTTAACCCTTAAAAATTTTTTTAAAAATTGAGATAGCATCTCACTGTCTTGCTCAGACTGGAGTGCAGTGGTGTGATCTCGGCTCATTGCAACCTCTGCCTCCCGAGTTCAAACAATTCTCATGCCGCAGCCTCCCGAGTAGCTGGGATTATAGGTGCCCACCACCACACCTGGCTAATTTATTTTTTTTTTGTATTTTTAGTAGAGATGGGGTTTCGCCTTGTTGACCAGGCTGGTCTTGAACTCCTGACCTCAGGTGATCCACCCGCCTCTACTTCCCAAAGTGCTGGGATTACAGGCGTGAGCCACCGCACCCAATCCATCTTAACCATTTTTAAGCATACAGTTCAGTGGCATTAAGTACACTCACATTGTTCTGCAATCATCACCACTATCTAATCTTCAGAACTTTTATTTTATTTTATTTTATTTTATTTTATTTTTTTTGAGACGGAGTCTCGCTCTGTCTCCCAGGCTGGAGTGCAGTGGCCGGATCTCAGCTCACTGCAACCTCTGCCTCCCGGGTTCACGCCATTCTCCTGCCTCAGCCTCCCGAGTAGCTGGGACTACAGGCGCTCGCCACCTCGCCTGGCTAGTTTTTTTGCATTTTTTAGTAGAGACGGGGTTTCACCGTGTTAGCCAGGATGGTCTCGATCTCTTGACCTCATGATCCGCCCGTCTCGGCCTCCCAAAGTGCTGGGATTACAGGCTGGAGCCACCGCGCCCGGCCTATTTTGTTTTATTTTAGAGACAGGGTCTTACTCTGTTGCCTAGGCTGGATTGCAGTGTTGCGATCATAGCTCACTGCAGCCTCCAACTCCTGGGCTCAAGTGATCCTCCCGCCTTGGCCTCCTAAAGTGCTGGGATGACAGGCAAGAGTCACCTTGCCTGGCCTCCAGAATGTTCTCATCTTCCCAAACTGAAACTCTATCCCCGTAAAACACTCACTCCCCGTCCCCCTCCCCAGCCCCTGGCACCCCCAATCCTCCTTTCCGTCTCTGTAAATCTGACGGCTCTGTGGTCCTGCTGTAAAACCTCTGTCTGTCCTTTTGTGTCTGGCTTATTTCACTGAGCATGGCGTTCTCAAGATTCACCCACGTTGTGTCAGGTATCAGAATTTCCTTCCTTTTTGTGGCTGGATAATATTCCATTGTGTGGGTCGACCATATTGTACTGATCCATTCATCTGTGAATGGGCGCCTTGGCTGCTTCCGCCTTTCGGTGACAGTGACTCTTACTGCTATCAACATTGTTATACAAATGTCTCTGTTCGAGTCCCTGCTTTCAGTTCTTCGGAATATACACCCAGAAGTGGAATTGCTGGGTTCCTTGTAATTTTGTGTTTCGTTGTTGGAGGACCTGTCAAACTGTTTTCTGCAGGAGCCGTACCATTTTACATTCCTACCACAAATATTTTTTCCTTCCTTCCTTCCTTCCTTCCTTCCTTCCTTCCTTCCTTCCTTCCTTCCTTCCTTCCCCTCCCTCGCCGCCTCCCTCGCCTCCTCCCCGCCAAGGGTCGGTGGCTTCCGCTCGCCCTCTCCTCCTTCCTTCCTTCCTTCCTTCCTTCCTTCCTTCCTTCCTTCCTTCCTTCCTCAGTGCTGGAAACCGTTGTCACCTCTGCCAGGGTTCCATGGGATGGGATTCACTCGGATTCCCTACCCCCTCCCCACCACACCAGCAGGTGGCCACTTTAATTAGCTCCTGGCCTGTAGCAGAAGTGGGCACCGGGGAACTCCGCACAGAGTGCCCCTGGGAGGGGAGCAAGCAGGGAGACCAGGGACCATAGGGGCGGGGTTTGAGGCGGAACAGAGGGTTTGACAACATCGGGGCAGCCAACGATGATCTCATTTCACAGGTCCCCAAACAGGTCCACTCAGTCCCCTGTGTTCATCCCAGGACCCCTGACCTCCTGTGTGCAATCCCTACCCCACCTCGGGGAAATGTCTTTCAAAATACTTTTGATCTATTTAGGCTTTCAGGCCAAGGGCGGGTTCTCTTGACTTGCTTGTCTCCTGTCTCTGTCTGTGTCAACGTCTGGGGTCTCCCACCCCTAATGTCGCCCAATCACAGCCTCACTCTGGGCCACTCCAGGGCTGGCCCCACCCCTCACCTCCCACCCCTAATGTCGCCCAATCACAGCCTCACTCTGGGTCACTCTATGGGCTGGCCCCGCCCCTTGCCTCCCATCCCTAATGTCGTCCAATCACACCCTCACTCTTGGTCACTCCCGGACTGGTCCTGCCCCTTGCCTCCAACCCTACCCCCATCCCTAATGTCATCCAATCACAGCCTCACTCTGGGCCACTCCATGGGCTGGCCCCGCCCCTCACCTCTCCTGATTGGTCCTGATTTTTGCCACCAGGCCACTCCCTCTCAAGCTCCACCCCCATCCATTGGCTGGTTCATCTTTTGGTCCTCTCAGACCATCCCTTCTCCCTCTGATGGGGGAAAGTGAGGCCCAGAGAGGGGGAGCGCCTGATCCAAGGCTACAGTGCTGGTTAGTGGCAGAGCCCACTGGTCCCTATCCCAGGGCCAGGCCTTCTTCCATCTTTCTGGGACCACTAGTGCCCTCCCCATCCTCCCCACTGGGCAGCCCCTCTGGCCACTCCCTTCACCCCACCTTGTCCAGGGCTCTCAGCATCTCTTTTCTGAGCTCAGCTACTGACTTTGTTAATAGCTGGGACTCCTCTGTCCCTCTTCCTGTGCTCACCCTTTGGGGGAGGTATGTATGCGCAGGGGTAGAAGGGGTGGAAAACACTGAGCCACTTCGACTGTCCCCTCCCAAAACACGGTGACTCCAGCGTCCTCTTCTCTTTTTATTTTTTGAAATTATAGTAAGATATACACAACTTAAAATGCACCATCTTAACCTCTTAACCATTTTTAAATGCATAGCTCAGGCCGGGTGCAGTGGCTCACGCCTGTAATCCCAGCACTTTGGGAGGCCAAGGCGGGCAGATCACGAGGTCAGGAGATCGAGACCATCCTGGCTAACACGGTGGAACCCCGTCTCTACTAAAAATACAAAAAATTAGCTGGGTGTGGTGGTGGGCGCCTGTAGTCCCAGCTACTTGGGAGGCTGAGGCAGGAGAATGGCGCGAACCCGGGAGGCGGAGCTTGCAGTGAGCCGAGATCGCGCCACTGCACTCCAGCCTGGGCGACAGAACCAGACTCGATCTCAAAATAGATAAATAAAAATAAAAATTGTACAGCTCAGTGGTATTAAGCACATTCACACTGTTGTGCAACCATCACCACCATCATCTCCAGAACTTTCTCATCTTCCCAGACTGAAACTCTGTCCCCCATGAAACACTCAGTCCTCATCCCCCTCCCCAGGCCCCAGCACCTCCCCATTTTACTTTCTGTCTCTGTGAATCTGATGACTCTAGGGACCTCCTAGGAGTAGAATCACACAGGATTTGTCCTTCTGTGTCTGGCTTATTTCACTGAGAGTGACGTCCTCAAGGTGCATCCATGTTGCAGCCTGTGTCAGTATTTCCTTCCTTTTCTTGGCTGAATAATATTCCGTTGCGTGGATGCACCAGGTTGTGCAGATCTATGCATCTGTGGATGGAAGCTTGGATTGCTTCCACCTAGTGGCCAACTGTGGGTGGTGCTGCTGTGACCATGGGTGTGCCCCATCTCTCTTAACACCCCTGTTTCTCTCCTTTCCAGGCTGTGCCTTCCTCACCTACTGTGCCAGGGATTCCGCCATCAAAGCTCAGACTGCCCTGCACGAGCAGAAGACCTTGCCCGGAGTGAGTCCTGTGTGGTGTCTGGGGAGGAGGGGACAGGGGATGGCTCTCAGCCTGGGGTGGGAGCCAAGGCTGTTCCTGAGATTGTCTGAATTCTGTGTGTCTCTGGACTCAGAAAGAGGTATGAGGAGCAGAGGGATAGAAATCATCATCAGAGTGTGCATTTATTGAGTGCCTACTGTGTGCTGTGCTCTATATTTTATACCAGAGTGGTTGTGTGTGGTTGTGCAGGTTGTGTACTGCACAAGGGCACCTGGCCCAGTGTGTCAGTGTCTTTGGGTTGAGACCTGAAGGATAAGGAAGCATTAGCAGGCAGAGGGCACAGCACATGCCAAGGCCCTGGGGCAGGACCATGCCTGTCGTGTTGGAGGAACAGGGAGGAGGCCTGTGTGGCTGGAACAGAGTGAGGAGGTGGAGAAAGAAACGGGGAGAAGGACAGGGGAGGTGACAGGGCTGGTCGCTGAGGGTTGTGTGGACCATGGGGAGAAGCGTAGACCATGCTGGTTTCTCACTATAAAAAGGAAAAGGATTTTCCTCACTTGTCTTTATGGTGCAACTGGAGCCACAGTTCCTTAACACAAGGGCTTTTTTTTTTTTTTTTTTTTTTTTTTTTTTTTTTTTTTTTTTTTTTTTTGTTTTTTTTTTTTTTTTTTTTTTGAGATGGAGTCTTGCTCTGTCGCCCAGGCTGGAGTGCAGTGTCGTGATCTCAGTTCACTGCAACCTCTGGCTCCCAGGTTCAAATGATTCTCCTGCCTCAGCTTCCCAAGTAGCTGGGATTACAGGCACGCGCCACCATGCCTGGCTAATTTTTGTATTTTTAGTAGAAACGGGGTTTTGCCATATTGGCCAGGCTGGTCTCAAACTCTTGACCTCAAGGGATCTGCCACCTCGGCCTCCCAAAGTGCTGGAATTACAGGCGTGAGCCACTGTGCCCGGCCAACACACGGACTTCTTGATCATTATTTCTGTCTGCAGAGGAGGCTGACCTGGGTGCTGTCTCTGATGAGTCTCTCCTTATTTTTATTTTTTGAGACAGGGTCTTGCTCTGTTGCCCAGGCTGGAGTACAATGGCTCACTACAGCCTCCACCTCCTGGGGTCAAGTGATCCTCCCACCTCGGCCTCCTGAGTCGCTGGGACAATAGGTGCATGCCATCACACCTGGCTAATTTTTTAATTTTTGTAGAGATGGGGTCTCATTATATTGCCCAGGCTGATCCTGAACTCCTGGCTCCAGCACTCCTCCTGCTTCGGTCTCCCAAAGTGCTGGGATTACAGGTGTGAGCCAGCACGCCCAGCCAGCACGCTTAGCACGAGTCTCTCCTGGTCAGCTTTGTCCTCTTTGGGTGGTCAGGAGTCCCCTGCCTCCAGTGAAGGATGAGTGGTTCACCCTGAGCCAGCCGATCCAGGTCCCCAGGCCATGCCTCTTGATGGAGACTGAAGGAACCACAGTGAGCCATGGTGCCCCACATTGCGAGCTCTGGGGCAGGGAGCTCACCTTTCCCTCCAGAATTCTCAGGGAACTTTCAGCATCCAGGGACATCAGGGCATTCGTAGTCTTCGTGCTTGGCTGACTGTAGGAAACCTGACGTGCGCCTTCCAGGGACCTGAGGTCATGGCATGAGTTTGACTTGATTCTCAATGAGCATTGGAAGGTTCTGGGCCTGGGGGTGGCCTCTGCTTCGTCTTGAAGAATAGAGAGCTCCTCTTTTGGGCGTGACGTGATGCAAGTTAGAGCATGGGGTCTGGTGGCCACATATGTGGGCTCGTTGCTCAGCTCCATCCTTGCTGTGTGACAGTGAGCCAGTGACTTAACCTCTCTGATCTTCAGCACTGGAAGAGAATAACAGGACAGGGTGGGGCAACAATCTATAGAGAAGATGCTCAATGGAGGGCTTCACTGAGGATATGACATTTGAGAAGAAACCTGAAAGATGGCATGGAAGGCACTCCAGGTAGAAGGAACAGCATGTGCAAAAGTGATCTAGAGTCTGTGGTAAATTCCCTGAATTCACTCTTCATCTTGGACCTTCTGTGAGTGCTTCCCCAAACCAACCAGAAGCTAAAAAAAAATACATAAAAAAAGAAAGAAAAAAACCCCACAACCAAACAAAAAATCAAACCAGCCAGAAGCTGGAGGGCAGGTCAGTTCATACAGATGAGTGCCCAGGGGCACAGCAGAGTTCTAGGGACCATAGTAGTTATTTATTGCTGCATAACAAATTATCCCCAAAATAAAGACTTCAAACAATAAACACTTGTTATCTCATAACTACCAGGGGTCAGGAATTTGGGAGTGAGTTTGCTGCATGATCCTGGCTCAGGGAGGTTACAGCCAAGATATCAGCAGGAGCTTGTGGTTGAGGAATCTGCTTCCAAGCTGGCTCCCTCTAGTGACTGTTGGCGGGAGGCCTCAGTTTATCACCACGTGGGCTTCTCCACAGCGCTGCTTGAGCTTCCTCACAACATGGCATCTTCCCCCAGCACACATAACCAGAGTGATCAAGGAGGAAGCCACAGTCCCCTTTAAGCCCCAGCCTCAGAATTACACACCATCATTTCCACCACATTCTAGCACCAGGAGCCCAGGGGTGCAGAGCAGGGTGGGAAAACGTGGAGGGAGGAATTCAAGGGACAAGGAAACTCAATACTGGATTTGTCCAAGGTTAGGTAGCCTGCAAGCTGTAGAGTGGGGATTTGGACCTTCGTGGTCTGACTCCAGACCCTGTACTGTTGCCTAATTCCTCTAAGTTTAGTGAACCACGTTGTTGCATGGCATCAGGTCCTGGGTGGAAGCTGTGGTCCTTCTGTCCAGAGAAATCTGTACATACATGGAGATTTACCTACACTTCTAAGGAGTCCCCCCAGCTAAGCACTTCTCCACCATTCCTTTGTCCTCATTTCCCTGATGAAGGTAACTGAGACCCAAACCCAGTCTCTCTTCCACTGTCTGAGGCCTTAGGGACCTTGGAACCGGTTCTCTTCCTGTTGGGTGCCAAAGCTGGGCTCTGTACTCTGTTGGCAGCCAGGAGGAAAGATGGAAGAGGGTGGAAGGACCAAGAGCCATGAAGTCTTGTGCCCTTCTTGCCAGGTTGGTGTCCGGGATCTGAGTCCACTTTGAGATGAAGAGATGCCGCAATCACCAGTAGCTCCTTCTCTGCATCCATCTTGAGGGGCCTCTGTCCTTTCTCCCTGCCTACTCTCCCTGGCTCAGCCCATAAATTCATAGCTTCCATCCATTCATGCACCCTTCCATCCACCCATCACCCATCTACCCATGTGTCTACTTACCTGCCTACCTATCACCCATCTACCTGTCACCCATTCATTCACCCATCTACTCATCCACCTACCCACCCACACATCCATCATCCACCCATCCTCTCATCAAGCCACACTTCCATCCATCTACCCATCCATCCATCCATTCACCCACCCATCTATCCATCCACCCATCCACCCATCTACCCTTTCATCCATCCATTCACACACTCATCCATTCTTCCATCCATTCACCCACCCATCCATCCACCTATCCACCCATCAATTCATCCATCCATCCATCCATCCACCCACCCATCAATTCATCCATCCATCCATTCATCTATCACTCACTCATCCACCCATCCATCCATTCATTCACCCATATACTCATTGCCTACCCACCCACCCACACATCTGTTATGCATCCATCCGTTCTCCCATTCAGCCATACACCCATCCATTCACCCACACATCCATCCATCTACCATTCATCCATCAAGTCACTCACTTATCTATCCACCCACCCATATATCCATCCATCTGTTCACCCATTTGCCCTTTTATCCATCCATCCATCCACTCACCCATCCATCCATCCACTCACCCATCCATCCATTCATCCATCTATCCATTACCCATCCACCCACTTGTCTATCCATTCATCTGTCCACCCATCTACCCTTCCATCCATCCATTCATTCATCACTCACTCTTCCACCCATCCGTCTATTAATTCATGTATACATCCATCTACCTATCTATCCTCGCATTCACCCACACATCCATTCACCCATCTACACTTCTTTCCATCCATCCAACAAATTTTTATCAAGTACCTACTATTTACCCCACACTATGCTAAACTCCCATCACCAGTTCTGCGACTGGTTACCTCCTGAGTGACTCCTGTGGCCATCCCCCAGTCCCCATCCCGCTAGACCCAATGGGGCTCAAACTAGCTATGGGACACCCCCAGTTTTTTGTTTTTGTTTTTTTTTTTTTTGAGACGGAGTCTCACTCAGCCCAGCCTGGAGTGCAGTGGCCAGATCTCAACTCATTGCAAGCTCCGCCTCCCGGGTTCACGCCATTCTCCTGCCTCAGCCTCCCAAGTAGCTGGGACTACAGGCGCCCGCCACCTCGCCCGGCTAGTTTTTTGTATTTTTTAGTAGAGACGGGGTTTCACTGGGTTAGCCAGGATGGTCTCGATCTCCTGACCTCATGGTCCACCCATCTCGGCCTCCCAAAGTGCTGGGATTACAGGCTTGAACCACCGCACCCGGCCGACCCCCCAATTTTTTTTGAGACAGTCTCACTCTGTTGCCCAGGCTGGAGTGCAGTGGCTTGATCTCAGCTCACTGCAACTTCTGCCTTGTGGGTTCAAGTGATTCTCCTTCCTCAGTCTCCTGAGTAGCTGGGATTACAAGCATGAGCCACCACGCCTGGCTAATTTTTGTATTTTTGGTAAAGTTGGGGTTTTACCACGTTGACTAGGCTGGTTTTGAACTCCTGACCTCAAGTGATCCACCTGCCTCGGCCTCCCAAAGTGCTAGGATTACAGGCGTGAGCCATTGAGCCCACCGCCCCCTGACTCTGCTTTTTTCGAACCAGTTTCTTTCCCTCAGTCCCTGGGCATCAGCTTCTTCTCCTCCCTCCTCCTCACCCCCAGAGCTCATGGCCCCCACATCCTGCCCTCTTATTTGTTGCCTCCTCTCTGCTTCCACCTCTGTGTTCTCCTGAGTTC